TTTTGGTCGATCATGCCATAATTCTTCTTCATATCATCTTAAACCATCATCAATAATTTTTGCTACTTCAGCTGATACTTGAGCTCTTGGTGTATAATCACCTGTACGATCATGATTTTGTTGATTATGTTTACGATTTGATGGTGGTGTTGGTGTTATAATAAGAATTTTATCAATATCATCATCATCATCTAATTCAAAATCCGATTCATCAGTTTTACTAAAATAAAAATTCTATTGAAAAAAAACAAAATCTAATTAATAAACTAGATAATAGCGTATTGTTCTTCATATGGATCAAGTGTTAATGATGTTGTTCGACACCAATTTTGTGAACGAAATAAAGGTAAATTTATTTGTTTATTTCGTAGTTCTTCACGATTATCTTGTTTTGATGATTGTTCTGATGATTTAACCTGAGATTGTTCTTTTTTTCCTAAATCAAAAAGAAAAAACATAATATAAATAATTTGTTAAAGAATTGTTTTTAAACCTTTTTCTTTGTTGGCTTTTTACGTCTTGTTGATTTATAATTCCAATCAATATTAGTTTTTGTTTCTTCTTTTTCTAGTAAAGATGTTTAATTATCTATATTTCAAAAATGTTTTAAAACAAAACGTCTCAAGAACAAGTGTGGATAAGGTTATTTTTCGGCTTTCCATAGATTTAAGATTTTTTATGAGAATAGAGTTACGATTGATGCTCAATCATATTCTACGGACCAAAACTGCGATAAGCAACATCATGGTTTTTGGAGCTTGGAGTACTCCCTCGAGGGATTCGAGAAAAATTTTTTTCTCAAGTTCGATCGCAACATACCTAGTGATATCGACTCAGGTAAACTGATTACGAATATGATATCCATAATGAAAAAATGTTTAAGAATCTATGCTTAATTCTGCTCATTCTATTTAGTTGAGTAGTCGATGCTGCTTCAACATGAAAGTTTGTGAGAATAAATAACTTTTGGAACTCTGTCCAGTAGCATTTTAAAAAGAGTCAAAAAAGTGTGCATTACGGTTTTCCAGGAGACTTCTGAAGGTTGGGTGTGGGTGTGGATGTGAGCGTTTGAAGAGATTATCGACACCCACACCCACCCCATATTCCACACCCACACCCAAACTCACCCACACTGCACACCCATCCACACTCGGCCACACCCACACACCCACCCACACCCACACCCCACCCCGCTATACAAATAAAGTCGGCATTTTCTTAGGTAATTGCACCTGATACACAAAGTGAACTTTATTTTTGCAGTGACATTATACTAGTAAATTTAGAATTTTACTAGTCTCTATATATTCTTGAACAAAAGCAAATTATCCTCATTTCATGTAAATAATAAGTTTCTTGACTACTTTTATACAAATAAACTCAAGTGAATGAAAGTTTCTTGGTTATTTTGTGAAACACGACCCACAAGAGAGGGTGTGGGTATACTTGTTGAATTAACTCACACTCCCACCCACACCCTTTTCGAAGAAGGCTCCCTATTTCATAAGAAAGGAATAATTTACATTTTACTAGAATCAAGCCTTTCTATCTTCATTGTTATCACTGACCAAAATTTATCAACAGATTTTTCAAGAACCTTGTTTATTGATCAATTAATTATTTATATTCAGCTATCCACCACATAAACATAGACAATGGTGATTGCTAACATTGGTTTCATTTATTTCAAAGTTTGACAACAGCAAAGTTCTCAGAAACTTACTTCTTTGTAAGAAAAAAAAATAGAATGGCGTATAAAAGTTCACAAACATTTCCAACCAAAAGCTATGAATATCTATGAAAGTCTTTTTTGAATCTAATGATCATTAAACTTTTTAGCCTCAAATGCTTATATATGACGTAAAAGACGTCGAAAATTTGTTATATGAATATTAAATAATAATTAAACGGGAATTTAAAAATATGTAATTATAAATATTTAGAGAAATGTTAAAGATGTTTATAGAAAAGAGAATAAATACATGTACCATATCATATTGACTGGCACTTTCTGTCCGTGTTTTTTTTGTTTTATCATGGACAAATGATTACAATTTTTTTTTAATATGAATTATTGTGTAACACTGATGACATAATCCAAAATCATTTAGTTTAACGTTGTGCGCTTTTATAAAAGATTATTCGAACTTTTTTTTTGCATTAAGGTTGCTTGTTTGACTTCTTTTGCAAACAATTATTGTATCGAATAAACGAAAGACTGCAAAACTGAATTAAGGTCTTCCCCTTAAAAATTGCTCTCGGTCCAGGTACATACAAATAGCATGAAGTTTTCAGCATATGTTGGGGCTGTTATGAAGAAGTCATGTTAAAATTTTTTGCCCTATACCATGACGTTGACAGAGATATTGGCCAAACAAAATTTCTCTGTCAAGGCTCGTATAACATATTTATTGGTTTTTTGTTTGAAAGAGCATGTCAAGATGCACTTTTTTTATTTAAATACTTACTTTTTAAATGAAAAAAGGAAATCACAAGTTTAATGACACTCCGAAAGCTCATAAAAAATGAATATTTTTCTATACTCATGTTTTCTTATATGATAATAAAAAGCCTTACTTCAAAAAAGAAGGACTCTTGATGCACTGCATCTTGGCATGCTCCTTTAAACGAAAACAAAAAATTAAATATATGGAATGAATCTGAACAGAGAATTCTTGCCGACCCGTTCAAGAAAGAATAAACTAAGAAAAAACGAAAAAGATTTTCTATTTTTTTTGGAAGCAGCTTATTTTTTGTCTTCAAAAATTTTCGGAAGGAGGTGCACAGTATACATTTTTTGTCGTTTATGAAAGGTCAGATTATAGGCTAACTTTCCATGCATTTACCTTAGTTTCGAAATTTCGGACAAAAATTGATTTTTTTTTAAGACGAAAAGGAAGGTCTTTATGTACTTTGTTTGCTGGTTTTTCTTGTTTATCATAGTTACATTATCAAATCATGTAATAAATGCTATGACCAATTTTTCGTGCAAAAGCATTTCTCATGTGTTGTGGTTATGATGGTATTTTGTTCCTTTTAAATTAAAGAATGCCTCATTCTATCTTGAATATATCTACAGAAGTTAGTTGGAAAATATGCCAGTCATAATTTTCATAGTTGGTTTAGGCTACATCAAAAATATAACTGTCTTGCATGCATACGTGCACAAATCGTTTTCAAGGAAAATTCTTGTTTCTTATCAATATCTGTTTATCACTGTGCATAGTTCTAACGATACACGTTTGTCTAGAGCAAGAATTTTCTCGTTTATATGATGATATGTCTAAAGATTAAGCGAAGGGTATGGGTGTGTTGTTGTTTTTCTACTAATATCACCCACACCCACATCCTATGTCGTCATGGCATTGGGTCAGCATCTCAGTATCAACTGAGTATCAAGAGATGCTGAGATGCCACGATTACTTTTTTAATCGGTACTGTTCATAAAATGACAGCAGTTATTGAGTCGTTCGTAACTCACTGTATGTAAGATCATCAATATTTTACGTTTATTTTTGATCACACAGGACATCTCACAAACACAACGATTTATTCTATTAAAATTGATTTTTTTTTCAGATTGTTTAACTTTGAAAAGACAATACAATTTAAGTTTTAGAATGTTTCATTTAATGCTGCATGATTGTATGCATTCTGAAGTGCTCAGGATTGACTGTCGCCGTCATTGTTTGAATTTGTTGTCGTCGATGAAGTAATATTTTTTGAAATTTTCTATTCACGCCACTTATCGATGCAAAACAAATGAAAGGAAAGAGAAAATAGACAAAATAGGAAAAAAAATGGAAATATTGTGCGGCATTGACACCAACATCTTGTGACAAACCAAATAAACGAGCGATCTGAATGATAGTAAGTGGAAAATTGAAGGCCAGAGTAAGAGATGAGAGGGACATCAGTTGAATTGTCATCTTTCGCTGTTTACGCCATTGAATCGGTAAATGAGAACGATATTTATGCCAGACAACTCTAAATAGGAAAGCGAAGCTAAAACATGGCTCCAAGATTCCTGGTACAATATTATTGACAAACAAATCCCACATGCGCATTTTTGGATAATTTTGATAGCATGGAGATCCACCACAGAGTAGCGATGTGTAATTGTAAGTATTCTTACAAGGAAAAGCATAAATGGCATAAATATAGTAAATGAAAATGTAGAGGATTAAAAATAGTAATGGTAGATAGTGTACAAATATGCGCCTCATTCTCATTGAAATCCATCGGTCGTGAAATACAATAATATGTCGTTCCAGAGCAACCCAGGTCATTACTATGGTTCCACCGTTATACAAACCAACATTGACAAACCACCAAATGAGACAGGTCAAAGGATTCGACCAAGCAACACTCGAATGTACGAAAAAATTGAGATATAAAGGAATATCAATTAATTGAACGGCCAAGCCAAGAATGAGTAAAACAAGAAGGGCATGATTCTTCACAGATGAGCGTAATTTTCGATCGATAAATACATGAAATAGAATAATGAGTGTACAAATCGTAGATGGAACATCGAATAGAAGAAGAATCCAAAACTGAGCAACAGACGACAGAAAGACTCCACCATCAGTAAATGAAGTGTTTTCCATATTGTTCGAACTTTAATCATCAATCATCGATGAAAGTTTGAATAAATTCCAAAGATAAGTTCGTGTAGTAGGATAAACTAGAATACAAATACGGAGTCGCCGAAAATGCAAATCTGTCTGACTGTAGGATTCGTTAGAAAGGTGACACGTGGTATGACTCCCATTAATTCTTCAGTCATCTCAATTAACTAGATTTGTTTTTTTTTTTATGTTGAACTAAATACGAGATAGAAAGAGATAAGCAATCGGGATCAGAGTTCTCTATTACGACTACAGATTCTGGTGAGTCAATATTGATAGTAGAAGAGAAAGACCAGGTGCTTATTGCCGCTTTTGGCATTTCTATAGTTCCCAAAGAGAATTTAATTTCCTACAAGATTGTATCTCTCAAAAAAATATTCAATGTAATTTTTCTTATAAAAAATCGATATTAATGAAAGGTCTATACAAAAGACTAATTATAAATAGTGCTTAAGATCTTTTTTTTCACAATACTTTTAAAAATAAAACACATCATTGGATTCAATTTTGTTTCCTCTATCGAATGATATATTTTGAGTTGAGTTTCAACCTTCTCAAGACTGAAATCTGGAAGTTTTCTGTAAAACTTATAGTACTTCGGGTGTTGGAGGCATTTTAAGGTTCAATCAATGTTTTTTCGATTGTAAATTATATCAACGTGTAGAAAAATATTTTCTCTACCAAATGAGATATAATTGAATACATTTTGACGAAAAATAAAGGAATTATCGAGAAAAAATTGTACGTGTCCAAATATTTTTTTTCCCTAGGAAATCAAATGGTTTCTTGAAAACCTTCCAAAGCTCATAAAAATCTTTTTTCTTTTA